GACGGCTAGCGCAGATAGCCCTCGTGTAGCTTTGCGCGAAATTCAAAAACAAACAAACAATGGCTCTGGCCTGCTTTAATCTATAATATTTTACAGAATTTTATTTTATTGTTCTCCTGCTTTTGAATCTTCATCTTGGAACAAAAGTATATTCATGGCTGTATGCAAGATGATTTAATTTCGAAACATATTAGGCCCGGCATGGCCAAGTGGTTAGGGCGCTCAACTCTCAATCTGCGGGTCGCGGGTTCGAATCCCTGTCACACCAAACATGCTCTCCCTTTCAGCTGTGGAGGCGTTATAATGTGACGGTCAATCCCACTATTCGTTGGTAAAAGAGTAGCCCAAGAGTTGGCGGTGGGTGGTGATGACTAGCCGCCTTCCCTCTAGTCTTACACTGCTAAATTAGGGACGGCTAGCGCAGATGACCCTCGTGTAGCTTTGCGCGAAATCCATAACAAACAAACAATCTAAATATATCTCATTTCTTGTTACAAAACTTTTAACTGGTATAATTTTGAATACGGTCCTTACTTAACGCCCTTAGTGGCACAGCGGTATGTCTGCGGAATTGTGCTTAATTACAAACAAACCTTACGTAACATCGTTTCAGGGGTGTTTCACGTCTCTCATGAAACAATACATAAACGTCTAGTGAATACGGGAAAACTCCATAAAGAAGGTGTTTGGGTGCCTCACGAGCTCTCCGATGATCATCGTTTCCAAAGTGTGAACGTTGCTTCGTCTCTTCTGGCGTGTAATGCGTGTTAACCATTTTTGGAGAGAATTGTCATCGGTGATGAAAAATGGATTCTCTATGCGAATAGTAAACGCCAAAAACAATGACTCAGTCCTAGACAAAAACCACTTTCTACCCCAAAACCTGGACTTCATCCGCAGAAAGTGATGCTTTGCATTTGGTGGGACATCAAAGGAGTAATTCATTTCGAACTCCTCAATCCACAGCGAACTGTGAGTGCAGAGATCTAGAGTCAGCAACTGGAACGTTTAAATCAAGTCCTTCATCAGAAACACTCGTCAATCGGAAAAGTGTTCTTCTCCACGGCAATGCACGTCCACATGTGACACGTTTGACGCAACACAAGATTATGGAGTTGGGTTGGGAAGTTCTTCCCCACCCACCATATTCTCCAGATATGGCACCATCAGATTATCATCTTCTTCGTTCGCTACAACACCATCTTAATCGGAAAACGTATGCAAATGTGGAAGGTGTTAAAGAGGACATCGACATGTTTTTTTCCTTCAAAGCAAAGTGATTTCTTTAATCAGGGCATTAACAACCTGATTGTAAGATGGAAAAGCATCATGGATAAGAATGGAAACTATTTCTTTTAATAAATGTTTTGTTTTGATATATAAGTTGTTTGGGTTTTTTCATCTAAAAAAGCGACATTAATTTCTTGACGACCTAATAAATAATATTAATGACATCCAGCATTGGGCTCCTTTTCTATTCACATTTTTAGTTTTTTTGCAAAAACAAATGCAGGTAACCTATCATGTGATTTAATAATCTCATTTCTGTCGTGTATGAAAGAGAAGAATTCGCGATGTGTTTTCAGTTAGAACTTTGAACAACAACACTGTGTATAAAGAGACTCAAACTGATAGTGAAGCATGCCAGGATACCAACAAAGACATTTGAACATTTCCATGATGTGGTGCGCAATAGCTTGGCTAAAAGCTGGTCAAATACAACAAGCCGTTGCAGAGTGTCTACAAAGTCTCACAAAGTGTGGGTAGCAGGATGTGGACTCGCTTTCAGACCACCAGTATTGTTGGTGAGAAAGTTAATATGGGATGTCATTGTCAACAACTTGGCAAGACGACTGCTATTTAACAATATATGCTCGATGCAGCCAGCGAGCCTCAGTTTCTAAGCATAATAATCTACAGTTCAGGATAAAACCTCAAATCAAAAAAGAGGTTTCGTACACTTGGTTTTTATGTCAGACAGCCAATGGTGTACATTCGTAACATCCATAGCCCGTCTTCAGTGGTGTCAAGAATATGTGGATTAGTCAAACAACATGTGGATGTAAATCTTGTTCACAGACTAATTACGTACACTTTACACTTCAGCCGGATACGGAGAGTAGCCAGGACCGGATTCAACTTCAATTTCACGACTGAAAGATAAGCATATAATAATGATGACACATTGGTCTTGGAAGAACCAGTCATGGTGGCCACGCTGATCTTTACGTGTTACGATATGGCATTATGAATGACACACAATATATGGTTGTAGACACAGTTGGTCAGAGCTTTTTTTTCTAATAGATAAGTACGAGCTCCTCCAGCGTGTTCAAATAGTTAGCAACTTCCTAGAAGATGAGGGAATGGCCTGACTAGCACGATAACCGGATTTAATCTAATTGAACATGTATATAATACTCTGGGATGACACCTCGGCAGCCTGTGGATCAATGTAGTAATTCTGATGGTGTAGTGAGCCATATTACCCCACAGTTCATTGATTCACCCATTTTAATCATGTCACGTCCAAGAATATCACACGCCTTATTAAGAAACATTTATTGACCAGTTAGTGTTAAAAGTCTGTAATATCAAATGAGTATTTGTGGACATGGACTCCAATAGCACATATGTGAATATCAAAACACATGACTGGTAACTAAGCGCCTACATTGCATGAAAACTAACTGAGGGATATCATTGATTTTACTCAATAACAGTAGTTGTGCTTTATCATAGCTAGGATTAATTTGGTATGTTTTGAATTTCGCACAAAGCTACACGAGGACTATAATCTCTAGTCGTCTCTAATTTAGCCGTCAAAGACCAGAGGGAAAGCAGCTAGTCATCATCACCGACCGCCAACTCTAGAACTACTCTTTTACAAACGAATAGTGGGTTTGGTTGCAGCATTATAACGCCCCACGGCTAAAAGGACGAAAATGTTTGGTGGGATGGGAATTTGAACCCGCGACCCGCAGATTACGATGTATATAAAAACACTGAAGTTGAGGTTCATATGTTTGATTTTCCTTTTTTTTTAAGAGATTTCAAAAAGTGGTAGTATCGGTTTTTTGATTAACATCAAGCTCAACCAATACACCATTAGATCGGAACTCACTTGTCAAAAAATAACGAAGTTACAAAATAAAATAAATCAATGAAACTCATACTGGTTTAAAGTGCAGTCTTCAGTCTCTTGTATATATATGTATAGACAGTATTTATTCCATTAAGATACTTTTTTTATTGTCATTTAACAATTTAACTCAAACAATATGGAATTTCTGTAAATTGGTACCTGCTAGGATGTAATCACCATATTGCACTTTCTGGTAACATGTGCAATTCTAGTGACACAAAGACGTGCGAGTTAAACAGAATATGTATGAAGATAAGTCGATAATTATATTTAGTTAGTTTTCCATAAAAATTCGCAATATGATTTCCACATATCCAAATAATTGTCCATTATACAGTATACATATCGGTTTTGTTTTTGTAAATCTTACGAGTAAAATTTAATTTTTTTGATCAAAATTAGAATTATTAATTTTATTCTTGAGAAGAACAATTTTAGTGGAAGGACATTAAATAGTTTATCTTCAAAATTTGAATAAATTTTACACACACACACACACATACATATATATATTAATACATAATGAAAACCATTGACGGTTAACCCCCTTTTGTAACGGAACTCAATTCAAATCGTATTAAAAACATTAAAACACATTACAGACTTATTGATGGGCTGTCTGTCTGTCTAGTTATAGATATGTCTTTAAAATCGGTAGGGTGTGGAGTTCGAAAGAAAGAATTATACGAGAACATATATCAACGATGGGCAATCCTTTTGATCCTAAGTCATTAGAGGAATCCCACTCTACAAAATAGCGTGTCACGCGTGAGTGCCTCCATTCGGTAAATGACTATGGTGATTGAAACCAGACATCAACTCTGATTTGATTGAGAAACAAGCCTTTCGAAACATAAACCCGTTGGCAACAAAAGACCAAGAAAGCAAGGGGAAGAGAGGAGCAGAAATACTTTTAAGAAGAACAATCATCGCCATTCTTTTGAATAAGACCCCCATCCCTTTGAAACCCAATTCACCAGACACTAAGGAGCTTATGCATCAATTTGTTTCAGTTAAAAGTTAGTATTTCTGCTTTTAGTCGACGCAAAGAAAAACCATCCTATCTGAATTACTATCTTCGGAAATACCCCCTGCAGCGCTAAACTGCAATTGCTTTCAGCAATTATTATGGAGCGTCTTCGGATCTTTGTACAGTTCTTTGGTAATGTTTTAAAAGCAAGCAGGCTATATGAAGAAAATGCTATGCTTTTAGTCTTACGTAAGATAAGTCTTCCAAATTCCATAGGATAAATCTGTTTTCCATGCGAAAAGATGACAAGCTTTCGCAGAAACCAAGATCTTCCTTATCGTACGTTACTTACAGATGACTGTTCCTTAGTTCAAGAACTGTCATGACCAAGGGATAACTACTGGAACTTTGTACTGATGGAAGCAAAATACACTCAGCTAAAGCCCACCACGTTATTTCCAACATTATTTAGTTCGATCGCTTTAGTAATACACATCAATTAGAGAGATGTGCTCATGCTCGATCTTTTTTTTTCTGCTGTTGTTCTTTGTAATCCCGCTAATTGTTCATTTAACTGGATAGTTGCCTGCAATCCACAAACAGAATAAGCTGTTATTTTACTAATCCCACAGGATAATAGGTAAATCACTCAGACTACCTTAAAAGCATCTTGCTTTTAATATTTCGGTAAATTGTACTGATGTATACACTAACACGAAGATATTGATCTGAAAGAAGAATGAAATAATCTACAATGGGTAACAAATTAATTCAGAATCTACAATAACCCATTTGTCTAGCAGAATTAAATTATGTTGTATCTAGGGAACAAACATATATATAATGTTTGTAAAGACTTACAACACGAATAGAATGTTACCATACATTAAAAGATAAAATGAAAAACTAAAAGTGTAACCTGGTATTGATATATTTAATTATTTCAAGCTTGGACATTAAATTATCTTTCATTATTTACCTTCCCATCTATTCATTTATCTATGTACGGTCTATCTATTTATATTGATAACATCTGTCGTAGGATTGTTGCTTGTCTGTTACACAATAATTAGAAAATGAATAACAACAAAATAACAACGCTTGCTAAATGAAGTTCCTAGACATATTATGGAAACAGGCTACTTTAAGGGCCACAAGCAGTAATTAGGTTTGTTACTTCTTTATTACACAATAATTTGAAAATGAATGGTAATAAAATAATCACGTTTGACACGTGAAAATTTCTAGATATATTAAGGAAATAGGCTACTTGAAGGGTAAGAGCAATAATTGGGTAAAATTACATTTAATAACGGATTTCCAAAATAATTTAAAGAATTTTAAACGTTTTGCCTCAGTTATTAGAACTTCAGAATTCATACTTACAGTCTAATTACTTCACGCGGAATCACTCGGAATGTAAAAGGTGTAAGTCAGCATTGCACCTGAGAGTGATGCTATTCAACGGATAGTTTTCGGTTAAATGAGACAAAAGTTGCAACAAAATCAAACATGAAGTTTTTGCTTTTGCTAGGGTTCCGAGTTAAAAATATATAAACGCAAAAATATTATCTTCTAATTGAATAATAAATGTATAAAGATCACGGTAACAAAGAGTGTTTAAGTGCAAAAACAAACAATAAACATGTTTTTGTTGGATTAAACAGAAATAAAAAGTCAAAATTGTTATTACTGACTTTTACTCAGGAATTACTCCCTCGCAATATACTGCAAGCACGGAGAAACAAAATCAATCCTTAAGGCTAAGTCTGACTTCTTGGGTGGTCTGATATACGTCCAACTTGTGTTGATAAATAATATTTCTTAGATAAATTCCGTTTCCTTTACTTTACCACCCATTATGTCACCATGCAGTTGAACAATTGCCACGAGCAACATACAATCGAAGACCGTTGAACCCCATCGAGGTTGTTATGTTATTCAAACCAAAATAATAACAGCAGAAGCGCTCATGCAGTCACAGAGGAAAACTGCTTTAGTAACTGTCATAAAATAAAATGAACACTTTACTTTTTTTATAAATAAGATGTTCTTTTTAACATCACGTGTTGTTTTTTTTTGTTGGTAAAGAAATCTGAAACCTTAAATCAAACTATCCGAAACCACGCCTTTTGCGTATCTCCGTATTATCTATAATTTGGAGATATGAGATTAAAGATAAGTTGCACTTTTTACTGGCTAATTAAGCTGTCTAAACGTAAAAGACATTTCAGAAAGTAAAATACATATTTCATAACCAATTTTCCCATCATAGTTACATTGATCTATTAAAATTAAAGAATTCATATAAAACAACGAAGATGGCTGCTCCTATGACAGTTATAGAATTGGTTCTCGTTTATTAGGAATAACTTTGATAAGACTGACAAGATAAATAATGTTTTTACAGAATTCAGCTGTATGTTGTGTGAGGTTTTAAGCAAACCATGTTTCGAACATTTCATATATATTTACATTGTCACGCCAGGCTCTAAGATTAAAAGTAACTTAAAAGACACGAGCCTATTAAAGAGCGCATCAATTTTGTCATAGTAAGGGGATAAGAGAAATCATATACATGTGGAATCCTTTTAACAACATATCTTTGATATTTCTTTCACGGCTAAACCAATCCAGTAATTCAGACATTTTCTTTTAATCACCAAGAAGCAAAAAATCACGAAAACAAAACAAAATAGTGTAAGATGTCATCTGTGATTACACACACAAAGTCAAAGAACAGAAGAATAAGAATAAACGTGTTCTTTAACGTGATATTCACAATGTAGGTACTCAAAGCTTGATATTTTCGTTTGTTTCGGATATTCTTGAAAAGCTACACAAGGTCTATCTATGCTAGCTGTCCCTAAGACTAGAGGAAAAACGGATAGACAACAACAACGCCCACCGCTGACTCTTGGCTACTCTAATTGGAATGGCAAGATTTTACGCAAACTCTTACAACGTGTTGAGTGCGATTTTGCGGTTACCGGACGCGATTCATAGACCCTCAGATCCACAATCCGGAATACTAACTATTAGGATAACGTCTAGCTTTCGCAGCTTGAATTTTCAACAAAACTTAAAAATTTTCAAAACAGTTACTATAATTTTTACTATGTCCGTAAAAAAAAAATAACCTAAATTAGAAGAGATCACGATTTCATAAGTAATGCTCTAAATTCTTAACCACAGAGACATATAATCATTCTGCTGTATCTGATAATTTTTTTCAGTCTAAGCAAACCAACATTTTTTTAAAAGGAAACTAAGGTACTTTAGAGATTATGAGTACTATAGCTTGAAATTGTTCAGGAAATAAACCCGATAAAATGTTATTTTTTTCCTCAATTTTTGTTTTAAGATTTGTCCTGATGTTAATTAATTAATACGTAAATATGCACGAACCTGGCGTCTAGAAACCTCGACCTGAGGATCATTACTGCTTCACACGTGCTCTGTTTCAGCTGCACCTGGATTGAGTTAAACTTCCGGTGAATAATCTGGACCATCCGTTCAATCTCCTTGGATGTGATTGGTCGATTCCGGCTTTGCTCTCTGAGAAGGTTCATGACGTGGGCTGTAAACTCACTACACGCCTGAAATACAAAAGATAAGAATTTGTCATAAAACAAGTGATACTGCGACTAAAATCCTCTATACACGTATAATCAACACCAAAATGATCTTCAGTCAGAAATTATAAAACGATAAATACAGGAAGAGAAAGAAATACGAGTGTAGTACCTAACAAGCCCTTATAAGTTTCAAGTTCTAATATTTTAACACCAGCGGTTTCACAGTGTAGTAGACGAACATAGGAGGTTTTATGTGCAAGCTGCAGTAAAGTAAATTAAGGGATTATATGTTCCAAACTGTAGTATATCAATTTAAGGGATTACATGTTCCAAACTACGCATAGTAACTTCGGGGTGATATCTTCCAAACTGTACTATATTAACTTAAGAGGTTATAGGTTCCAAGCTGTAGTATACTAACTTAAGGAGTGATATGTTCCAAGCTGTAGTATAGTAACTTAAGGAGTTATATGTTCCAGTTCGTATAGTATAATAACTTTTCGAAGTATCAAGCACCTTTTTTCATGTGATAATGAAAATACGTTTTCAGTAAGTGGGAGTGTAAAAATGATACGAGTTTTTCAGAAAACGCATATTTGGATAATTGTTGAACGGTGTATTTTTATAGCCTTTGGAAATATTTAATGGAAGGTCTGTTAACTGTAACTAATAAAAACTACAAATATCCAACAGTAAAAAACAAATAAATCTTTACACGTAAATATTTTCAAAACCTTATTCCTATTCCTGTCAGAAATCCTTATTTTCAATAACATTTGTATCATTACTTTGTTTATTGCTGTATATTTATATAAATGCCGTTTGGTCAAAGTGATTGTTTCCAATACTATTCCGATAGGGATTTTTGAGCTAGTAACATCGCATGCAGTACCAAACATTGCTTTTGACTGACGCTAAAAACATTTCACTAAATACAATCAAGAATTAATTAGAACTTATTTATCATCGGAAGATAAAATTCTTTATTTGTCGTTAAGCACAAAGCTACAAAATGGACTATCTGCGCTGTGCCCAACGCAGAGATCGAATCCTGAATGCTCGTTCTTAAGCCTTCAAGCTAGTCGCTCAGTCATCGGGGAGGGAGCTTTGAAGAAAATTTCTCCAATACAATTGTATTATTACCTTTCATAAAACGCCCCCAAAACAATTCAGTTGACTGAGTTAAAAACTGTAGTAATCTCGCGATATATTACACGCTTTCTGTGTTATTCCACTATATTGTTTAAAAACTACAATAGGCCCGGCATGGCCAGGTGGTTAGAGCGCTTGACTCCACTCTGAGGGTCGCAGGTTCGAATTCACGTCCTACCAAACATGCTCGCCCCTTTTAGCCATGGGGGCGTTATAATGCAACGGTCGATCCTATTATTCGTTGGTAAAAGATTAGCCCAAGAGTTGGCGGTGGGTGGTGATGACTAGTTGCCTTCCCTCTAGTCTTTCACTACTAAATTAGGGACGGCTAGCGCAGATAGCTCTCGTGTAACTTTGGTCGAAATAAAAGCCAAAACTACATATTTTACAGTATCTGGATCTGTTAAAACAAATGTTCAGTTTTAAAGGTGCAATTCTGATGAACCACCTTCGAAAGGTACATTATTACCACTATAATATCATATAGAATATTTGATCTACGTTTCTGTGTGAAATTAAATGGCCGGCCTACAGATAAATCAGTAAGAACATATGCTTTAGTACGTTCCTGTAATTTAGTGTCATCAGGTCAGAGGTTGTGATGAAAGGTCAGGAAATGATAATTTAGCTTATAACCTTTATTTTTATAAAGTTATGTAGTTAATTGTTTAGTCCGTCAGACGTTGAAGTACATAGACAAGGAAAAGTCTTCAGGCAACAAGTGTTCTTTATTCTAGATGCCAAAGAATGATCAACAGGGCATTCCAACAGTCAAGAAATAATAATAATAGTTAACCACGGTCTGATATGAACAATTTGTCTTACAGGTGTACCTCAAAAATTTGGTTAGGTTCTCTAGAGTAATTTTCGGCAAAAATATAAAATGTATGAATAGAAGCTGGGTTATATACAACGGAGGTTCCAAAAGTTACCTCAAGTATAATGAAGAATGAGACAGAGGGAAATAATATGATGTAGTGCATACGAATGTATGTTGTATCAATGCTTTTAATATTCATGTACTACGTCATTTCTCTAGCATATTAACAGATCTGTATGCACTAGTGCCCTACGTCATTCCAGTAAATTAAAATATCTAAGTGCACTAATGTACTACGTCATTTTTGTAGTTTTAAAAATCTTTGTGCAACAATGTACTATGACATTTCTGTAGTTTTAAAAAATCTTTGTGCAACAATGTACTATGCCATTTCTGTAGTTTTAAAAATATGTGTGCAACAATGTACTATGCCATTTCTGTAGTATTAAACAATCTTTGTGCAACAATGTACTATGCCATTTCTGTAGTTTTAAGAACTATATGCACTACGTCATTCCTTTAAAATTTTGACGTGTGTGTGTGCACTAATGGACTCAGTAGTTCATGTAAATTTTCAACAGACGCGTAAAGTTTTAAAAGATCTGTTTGCACTAATGTACTACGTCATTTACGTAGTTTTAACAGAACTGTATGCACTAATGTACTACGTTATCTTGTAAAGTTTTAACACATACGTGCACTAATGGAATATGTAGTTCATGTAAAGCTTAACGAGACACGCGTGGGTAGACAATTCCCTCTTTTTAATGACATTGTGGGCTGAAGGTGAATTTCAAATATATAAAATTAACCTGCTGGAAACAAGGGACATAGTTTGACACTTTTTACCGTCTATTTTAGCATCTGAAGTGTGAAATATGCTCCAAAAAAGTATACAAATTTCAAGTGTCAAGCAACAAATTCAAGTTTTCGTTCATCTTTTACCTTGCTGGAATACTAAACCGCAGATATTAATGAAACCCTAATAAAGTAAACTAAAAAGTTTTATAAAAACTTATCAATACATTAAAAGCAACACAGAAATTCTCCTAAACTTCGTTTCAGAAAATACAGCTCTAACAACTTCAAGAAAATATATATATAGATGTTATATTAACCTAATCATCTGCCACATGCTGGGTTTTAGTACATATCCGTCAGACAAGAATCGCTGTTTTTGTTTTAAGCGAAAAGATACAAAATGGGCTGTATCCACCGCAAGGATCGATCGCCGAATTTTAGCATTAAAAGCCCTCAAGTTGATTCACTAAGCAACAGGAGGCTAGGAAATAACATAATATTATATCAATCGTTAGAGATCAACCAGAGTAGTCCCAGGTTCTAGGTTAATACTATTTAGAAGTTGTTAAAGTACTTGAATCCCCCCCTTTAAACCTTAATCGGCTAAACAGCAGCGACTCGCACGAATGTGTGTGTACATACTGCACTTTTAAGCCACACCAAAATGCAATTGAGTAGATGAGTTACGAAACGCGAAGAGCCATAAAAGCTACATAAAACCGTTTGAAGTAACTTTGTTCACTTTTACGAGCAGAGGTCTAAAACAGCGCCCTCAACATCGGTCTTATTTGTCCTCTTGTTGTATGGATTGTAATAAAACCAAGCTGTCCAGAATTTATAGAGCTTAACACACATGTTCTCTCTCTATTGAGGACAGCCGTCTGGTACTTATCTACACACGAGCTAATGTGCTAACAGCGCTAACCGACGATCTTAACAGCACACACTTTATTATTTTGTTAATTATCGGCCACTAAGAACATACACACACAACAATGTCACGATATGATAAGGTACACGCGCTGCTTTATCATAGTTGTTGGTATATAACAGATTTTAGTACGTGAGTTGCTTGAGTCAGTTGTTATGAGGTCTAAATGGCCTACGCTTGTACACAAACACACACACACACACTCGGGCTAAACTAACCTACGATACTTATAAGCGAGAATAGCGACAACGGATAATAATTGTTCCCATAATTATGTGAATTCATCACCATCACTTTAATACGATTATCACACAATATTTTAGAAGTATGCTCCTGCAGAGAAAAACAAGCATGATGGAAGTGACAAGGAGAATAAAATACAAATCTGTGGCTCTAAAAGAAGAAAAATGCTAATTTGAAAAGCAGAAATGGTAATTTGAAATCACAGAAAATCTTCTTTTCAACCTAGTTGACAGATATTACATTAATTTACTTATCTTTCATCCTCGCGTTAATATCTTCTGGATTTTGAAAGGGGGAAAAAAACAAGATTGGAAAAAAAATTGACAGGAATTATACATCGTAAATCGACTTTAGAGATCGAGAGAAAATTTAATCAAAAATCACACACAAACACACGCACAAATTATTTTAAACCAGTTATGCCCTTAAAAAAAAGCACTTTTAAAGAAGAGAAATATCATACGCGTAGAGACCGAAAAGTATAAGCATAGTTCAGTTAATTTACGAAAATTTCGGAGTTTAATAACCTACACGTTTCACAGGGCTATTACGTATTCTTTAACACACGTGATCTCCATCTATACCAGTGTTTTAGCACATCCTGAAGAGCTCTCATTCCATTGACTACCGTGTGTTTTCATATTCCATCTGCTGTATTAACAGCCGGAAAGGATCGCTTTAATTATCCATTCTTATGCTCTGAAGAGACTATAGTTTAATTCAACACATCTCACATGTGTAGGTTAAATTAAATCATTCTATAGGTATAGAAGTCTAGCCTAACGTCTGAATTAGAAAATAGAACATCAAGATAGTTAAATACCACTGAGAGGTATGTCACGACAAAGTCAGATTATCTATATATATATAAAAATATATATATACATACATATATAAAATAGAACATCAAGGTATTTAAATGCCACTGAGAGGTATGTTACACAAACAAAGTCAGACTATCTATATATATAAATATATATACATACATATATAAAATAGAACATCAAGGTATTTAAATGCCACTGAGAGGTATGTTACACAAACAAAGTCAGACTATCTATATATATATATAAA